ACTCTCCACTGGTCCACCATGCCCTTGATCTCTTCCCAGAATACCTTGTCACATCCCAGCCATCTCCCAGTACTGACCCCAAGTGTGGAGCTTCCACCCACAGCTGGTGCCCACAGGCTGCCATGGTCCGTACCATGCTTAGTTCCCCACCCTTGCCAAGTCTTCTGGAGACCGCATGTGCCTGTCATTGGTATGGTTTTTGTCAGAGTCTTCACGCCTGTTAAAATATAATTTTTACATGTGTGCATATATGTTTGTGCATGAGTATGCACACACACATGCCATGTGCTTATGGATTCCTGCAGAGGCCAGAGGAAATCATGGATCTTCTGGAGCTGGAGTTACAGGTATTTGTGAGCCATTTGATGTGGCCTCTGGAAGCAGATGCTCTTAGTCGCTCTAACCTTCTCCATGCCATTCTAAGAGATGGACAGGGAGACAAAAGGTACTGTTTCATACTGACTTCTTATGTTTATGATTATCCAAGGGAAGTTTTAAAGGACTCTTCCATGGCGGGAAAGTGCTGGGGTAGAGTGAGGAGGGCAAAGTGTGAACTTAATCTGTCCTTGTGTTCACCATGACCATAGTCTTGTAGAAATAATGTGGGTCACTAAACTATGGGTATTGACTTTTCTCTCTGTGATGAAACCCTTGACTGACTCTGGGGATATGCCTTCAAGGTCTTCCTGCCAATATGAAGGAAATGTGGTAATCATCCCCCAAGAGTGTTCGCCAAAAAAGCTGACTTCTTATTCAAGGTTATCTCTCTCTTGACTGACCTCATGGAATTAAAGACACTACTTGTTGCTTGATGCTTTGCCTATTGGAATGAGGTGCTGGTGATCTGTCTTCTGCTGAGGACATTTGTGCCTGGGTGACTGGTTGGACTCATTATAGGATGGTGTTGGACATTGAGTGGTCCCATCTTTTCAGCAGGGCACCAGATCCCTGGAAGGTGACCCTGGATTGAGTATGGGGAGCCAGCTCTTGGATATGTACAGGATGTTGGTTTCTGTTTGTTTTCTAGGAAAGATGTAGGAAGATGTTTTAAAACTGAGTTAAGAAATGTAGATTTCCCATTATTCTTCCAGTCACATGCCATCAGGGCTGCAGCACAAGCTGCAGCGTTGTTCAGCTAGGGGAGATTTGGGAATGGAAACCAGAAAGCGCTCCTTCTTTGCTTCTCCAGGAACTGCTGTGCTTTAAGAAACCATGTCTCTGCCTTCTGCACAGGAGCTAAGGCAACTAAGCCCCCGGGAATGGGCCCATAATAGGTCACCGCATGTGAGGAACAGTCACACCAGAATCTTCTGCCCCTAGATACCAGCGGAGCTGACAGTGTGTAGTACGGGCTGTAGCTGTGTGGTAAACAATGACAAGCTTTGAAGACATAGAGTCTGCAAGTTCCATCTCTCATGGTTCCAGGGAAAGCCTTCCCACCCTTTCCAGCTGCTGAAACTTCCAGATACCCTGGCTTGTGGTCCCAACTCTATCTGTGCCTTGTACACAGATGGCCTTCTCTGTGAGGACAGCCATGCTACACTTGGGGTTTAGCCTCATCCTGTGTGACTTCATTTTTCTGTGGTTGCATACTATTTCCAAACTGGGCCACATTCATGGTTCCTTTTTTTTTTTTTTGTGGCCTGTCCTGGAACTAGCTCTTGTAGACCAGGCTGGCTTCGAACTCACAGAGATCCACCTGCCTCTGCTTCCCAAGTGCTGGGATTAAAGGTGTGGGCCACCACCGCCCAGTGCACATTCATGATTCTTAACATCAGGGCTTAAACAAATTGACCATAAGCATATTTGAAAGATGCAATTCATCCTGCAGTAGTGTATGTAGTCTGGTCTCGTGTGCTTTGTGGGTGTAACACTTGTCCTTCTCACTGTAGCTGGGGATACTGAGAACCAGAAAGGAATGAAACAGCATCATTCTCTACTTTCTAACCAAACTCATGTGCCCCTCCTGCCCAGTCTGTACTGTGTCTGGAGCTTAGCCTACAGTGAATACAGGGCCGCAGTGGAGAGAGTGAGAGAGGGGATTCCACAGCTGCTGCCCAGAAGTCTGGGCAGAAGGGGCAGCCCCTTCTGCTCAGTACGGATTTTGTCAGAGCCTCAGTGTGTGCGTGGCCATGTAGACTATTAATGTGGTAAAACAGGCCTCATAACTTTTCTATCATGGGGCGGTCATCTCGGTGTCCTTCCAGGCTTGCCCTCATTTCCTGGTGAGATCAAGCAATTGTATCTCTTTACAAGAAATCTTTGTGAAATAGGATCTGAGCTGATGCGGGGAGAGTGCAGAGAGATGAGAGGCCAGAATCCTGGCAGGGAGGTGCCAGAGTGACCTTCCTTAAAGGCAAAATTCAATTTGGAGTTTTCAGTCAGTGTCGCTGGTACAGATTCCCACTCCTGAGAACTGAGGGGAGCTGAGGCCCACCCAGGTGGCCCTGACGTCAGGCCCCACATCCCAGGCTGGTTTTGGAGATTTGCTTTGCTCCTGCTGACCCCTCTCTGCTGGTGGCCCCTTACCAGAGCCTCCCAGCCTGAGAGGTGAGTCTGTGTGGAACCCACTTGTGAGTTTTCCCAGGAACAGCTTTCCTGCCCCACATCTCTTGATCGGACTCTACAAAACCTTGTGAATAGCAAGGAACAGGTCTGTCCTTAAGACTGATGAACATGTATCACCTAGAGCTCCTCCTTTGGCCCTTGGGCACACTTTAAAAACAAGGTGATTGTTAGTGCTGTTTGTCTACTTAGATGGATCTAGAGATAAGGAGACAGAGCCCCAGACTTGTCTGTGAAAGAGTTTCTAGGTTGGGTTAATTGAGGTGGAAGACTCACCCTTAATGAGTGGTAACATTTCCTGGGCTGGGGTCCTGGACTGAACAAAAGAGAAGGCAGATTGAGCACCAGTGTCTGTCACTCTCAGCTTCCTGACTGTGGCTACAGAGTGACCTCATGCTTTTCTCACCTTGATGAACTGTACTTTCAAACTGTCCTTCCTTCCTTAAGTTGCTCTTGTTAGAAACTTTGTCCCAGCAATGAGAAAAATGACTAATATACAAAACTTCTCTGAGAAAAGTCAGATGTGTAGTATGTCCTGTGGGGTCAGATGCTAGGAAGGATGGTGGGGGCCAGATGTGGACCAGCAGAACACCAGGAATCTGCTTTGATTCATCACAGTGGAGGTTCCTAAGCAGGAGCCTAACCTGGGCCCTGGATCTACCACCTCCACTGAACAGCAGGAGGTAAGCATTATCTGGGATGTTTTGTAATACTGAGTCTATTTTCTCACCTGTTCTCCAAGGGGTTGGGGAGGTCATGCCCTGGGGCTGTGTGAGTACAGATAGATCTCCAAGGGCAGGAGTCTGCTTGTTCGGCAACCAGCAGAAAGCCAGGGTGCTGTCCATAGAAGACAGAGAATAAAGACCACAATACTGTAACAAGAAAGAATTCCATAGGTGAGCTAGTTAACCTTGAGGACGTGACAAGGAATCAAACTGGTGATCTGAAAAGTCTCAGAGAATGAAAACAAATATGTCAGCAGAAGGAAGAGGCCTCAAGAGGAGGAATCTTCATTTAAAGGAAGTTGTAGGACTGGGGCCTCAGTGGCAAAGGACCCAAGCTCTGTTCCAAGCACCCATATCCAGTGGCTCACAACCACCCATAACTCCAGTTCCAGAGGATCTGAAGCTCTCTTCTGCCCTCCACGAGTACCTGCACACACTTGGTATACATTCTCACAGATATATACATATACACATAGATACAAATAAAATAAAACATGAAAATGTTTTTAAAAGATAAATATTTAAAGGAAGTTACAGAAGAACAAGTTGAAAAGCAGACAGAAATATAATCTCATAGTTAACAGAACACATTACCCAGAATGAAATATTTCCTAAAGGTTGAACATGACCATAATAAACTCTAGATGGGAGAGCCAGCCAGCCAGCCAGAGGAGAGGCAGAGAGACAAAGACAGAGATGACAGAGAGGTAAGACAGACAGTGACAGAGAGTATGAATGAGAATGAATACTTATAGAAAGAAAAGGTTCTCTTGTGCTGGAACTCAATCCTGGGACTGGGTGAACAGGAGAAGCTTAGAAACTCAGTATCCAGCAAAGTTATCTGCTGCTCCTAAGGAGGAAAAAAAAGTTTTCCAACTATCTTGTAGCTCAGAAAATTCTCTTTCCATACAATCATTCTGAAATATGATTTGGTAATATTTTTCAGTCAAGTAAGAAGCAAGTCCCAGACCTAAGGAGATGTGGAATTCACAAAATTGGAGCGCCTCTCCAGGCTGAGCACAAGAAGGATTCCAAGGATGGTGGCTAGGAAAAACAATACAATTTATGTCGGAAGTAAAAGATGAGGGTACTAAGACCCACCTATGATTCTACCACTTGTCCCCACTCTGCAGTGAGAAAGGCTGGAGTCTACTCCACAGTCACCTTGTTAAGAAACCTGGGATACAGCATGGAGACCAACTGTTTCCAGCGATGTTGCCTGAGTGTGGTCATGTGACCTTGAATGTGTTATTTGACTCTTTGCACCTCAGTTTCCTCATCTGCAGGTTGAAGTGCCTCATAGACTGACCTCCTAGGGGTACTATAGAGAATGAAGGAATGGACATGTCTACAGAGAATGTGCCAACAAAGACTGTTACTGCCACACTTGCATGCCATGACAGAGCAAGACCCAACTTAAAGCAACCAAAGTGTGCATGGTTCTGAAAACTTAGAACATTGGTGATAAAAGTCAATATTGCCTTGATATTTTAAAATTCTTCATTATGTAGCTTGAGGTTGGTTAGGGATGGAATTACATTTTGGTCCTGGGGTGTTCCTCAGTGCTAGGCTTCCCAGTGAGTTCTGTTCATGTAATTTCACAGAATAAATACTGATCCATTTCCTGTTTTAAAATCTCATGGAATCTTGCCAGCATTTGCAGAGCATGATAGGGCTTTTGCAGAAAACCTTGGGGGACACTGTGGAACCATGGGTAAGAAGCCTGTATACCCCTCATCTTACACATTGGGCGTTGAGAGACATGGCGAGAGTTGGTGTTCCTAGAAACAGTGCCTTCAGCCTTCCTCTTGAAGTCACAAAGGCAACCACCAGAATCGCTAAAAATACAACAGAGCTGAGAAAAATCAGGGAAGGCGGTGCATGGGAGGGGATGTTGGTGGAGGGGGAAACAGACTCCACTCATTTTTCTCACTGAGTAGCCTTGGGACGTGTCTCTGGCTTACAAAGCAGGAACCAGATCCATACATCTATCACAGCTACAATGTTGTGTATTGGCTACGATATGGAAAGGATGCAGCAGGCCAAGAAGCAAGTGTTTTGAAGAGTGGAGTTTGCAGGCTAGTGAGCTCAGGTGATGTATTCTGAATTGACTGGATAGTTCATCAAGTGTATATTTTGCATTTACAAATGAATCCCCAAAGCTGAATACCTGCACCCCTGCACAGCCTCCAGCCAGGCAGCAGGATCTGAGGACAAGGGCTCTGAGGGTGTCAGGGCTGTTCTGCCAGCTTGGAAGCTGCTTTGTGTCTGCCCCTGGGAGTTGCCTGTTTTTTCCCTTTCAAAATGAAAGACACAAAGTGTAGCATGTTTAAAAATAGTAGGGCTTTTTCAGATGTGGTGGTGAGGCAGGAGGGGCCCATTCAGGGCTACATAGTGAGTTCTAGGCCATCCTGAGCTGCAGGAGAGCCTATATAAAGCATGATTTTTAGATATGTTGCAATATAAAAATGAGCAAGTAAAATAATGTGTCTCATAACTTTCCAATTTTATATTCAGTGCATATCCTTCAATCCTATACAAATATCAACTCTATGTTTGGTGGAATATTCCAAAACACACAGCGGTCCAGGAGCATGGACTGAGTAGAGCCCCCGCATTGACTATTTGAAGTATGGAGGTTTACACCTCATATTACCTAGCTGGATCTCTGCCGAGGAGAGCAAAGTATATTGTCTCTACACGTGGTTGTTGTCCTGGACTACAGCTCCTCCAGGAGCTACTGACTCTAGTGACCGCTGAGAACTTCCCTAACTGGTGTCCCCTGGTTCCATAGCCCCTGCCCCATCTAAGATTCTGAGCAGAGCAGGCTCTGCCCTAGCTTTCTGGAGAGTCCTTGCCCCTCTTCACTGGCTTCTCTCCTCCACTGCCTTGTTTCCTCTGTTCCATAAGTTGTCACCTGTGTCCTCAGACTGAAACCCAATTTGCAATTGGTCTGCAAGACAAGCACTACCCATTCCCAGTCTGGGGACAATGACTGTGCATTAAAAAGTTTATTTTAGTTCTTTACAATTAATATTTTATATACTAATTAACTTTGTTTCAGATATTATTATATTGCGAGTATATGCATGTTTATGTATGCAACAACATGCAGGTGGAATTCAGAGGACAATTTTCAGGATTCTGGGAATTGAACTCAGGTCATCAGCCTTGGTGGCAAACATCCTTAACCTCTGAGCCATCTTGCTGGCCCTTTATACCAGCTTTAGGATTAAAGAAAGAGTGTAGAGTCCAGAGAAGTCACAGTCTTGGCCTCTGCATCTCCTCTGATGACATTTTAGTCAGTGTAATGATCTTTTACAATGGTAAATTGATAATGGCACTGGACTCATAGCTGAGGTTAAGGATCCTACTAGAACTTTCTATGCCACCAAGGTTCTGTTGTGAATGTATAGTGACTAAGTCTCACCATCATGGTGTCATATGGAGTAACCACACTTATGTTAACCTTGTCCAGCCTCCCCAACCTTGTCAGCCATGTGCCTGCTGGCTCTACAGTCAGACTTTTCCTGACCACACTGGGCTGGGGTGGGTGTGCTGGGAGCAACGCCAAGGATCTGCTGACCTGTCCTTTCTTGTCTTCTTCAGGCCTCGCAAAGCCCATTGGGCTGGTGGAGGGGCCAGGTGGCCTGGGCCAGGGAGGAGTGGCTGCCACTCTGCAGGATGGTAGCCAAGAGACTGAGGGCAAGTTCGAGGAGTTCGGGTACAATGCACAGCTCAGTGACCGCATCTCCCTGGATAGGACCATCCCGGACTATAGGCCCAAGAGGTGAGCAGCTTGGCCTCAGCAACTGAGGCCTGAAGGTGGAATTCTGCTGCATAGAGGTGCAGGGCTGCAGATGAACCCTTGGTCTCTTTGTGTCTCTGTCTCCCTTGACCCCCCCACCCCGTCTCTTCTCTGTCTCCCTCAATCTCTCTCACTCTGTTTCTTTCTGTCTCTCTTGCCCCTCTGCTGTCTGCTGTATTCATCCTTTTGATACACAGCCACTGCATCAGTCCCCTTTCCCTTTGGACTCAGAGGCTGGCAGGCTGGAAGTGGCTGGGCTATCTATTTGAGTCCAGCTATGACTGTGTGCATATACGTATATGCGCACAGAAACTCAGATGTACTTGGACACCTGAGCTAGAGGTTTTGGTCACTGCTCAGCATGTTCACCTCACTGACTTTTTGTAGCTATTACTGTCATTGCTTAGTGAGCCCCAAGTGTCTGAAAGTCCTTCAGAGGCTGTGACCATCTTGTTTCTCCCAAAAAACAAAGAAGTAAAAGATTCAAAGGAGTTGCCTTCCTCATTACTATGACCTTGCTTATGTCCTTAAGGACTGGGTTCTTATCCTTGTTTATTATCTCCTTCCAAAAGCACAAAGGGAGCTGACCAGAGCTGAACTTGAACACCTTCATAGGAGGATTAGTGAGGCCAAGCATCCATCAAAGCATCAAAGCTTTGAGTTGTCAGTAGCAAGCTGGCTGCCCTTGGACTCCATTACAGACTACCAGGACTGGAGACCTAGGCAGGGAAACTCAGCAGCTCCTTGATGTCTGAGCTCAGGGCTCAGAATGCTGCTAGAGTGCCTCTTGGGGCCTGTGAAGGTGGATGAGTGGTGAGTCTGTTTGCGGTTTCTCTGCCTCCCAGTGAACCAAGACTAGAACTCTGTCAAGGAGCTTTCTGAGGAGGACCAGGCCAGGAGAAGATGGAGCAGGAAACTCAGGGAGGTGACTCACCAGAGCAGTGATCACAGTGATGGAGGAAAAAGGAGTGGACCACCTACATCACCCACCAGGTTGCTCTGAGTCCCGGTCTTCAGGTTGCCTTAAGACTTCATCTCCACCTCCATCTTGCTCTGTGCATGAGCTTAGGTAGGAAGATGGCCAAAGCCCAGAGTCCCAGAAGGCTATGAAGGCCCAGAATCTGGAACAGTTCTCTGGGGCTGTGCTTGAACCAGCTCCCAGAATGGTGCCTGGGCTTGGGTGATGCTCCAAACATGGAGCAGAGACTGCAGCTCCGGGGACATCCTAGCAGCTGTGCTATTTTTTAAGTCCCAAAATAGCCTGTATTTTTCATGCTTGACTCTTTATTTTGGGGCATTTTTTGAAATTCAGAAGTTGAATTATTTACATCATGAGACAGGGAGATAGTTGCTGCCTTCAAATTTTGGGTTGCACAAAGGTCTCTGACATACTTTGATGGACCCTGGTGAGACCTGTTATATTCTTTCTTACAGCCTCCTGACCTGGGTAGGGAGGGTAGGGAGGAGGTATAGAGAGTGTAGACGGGGTCCTGACGTGGACAGTCCACCTAGATCAGAGTGTCATCCACGCTCTCCCTGCTGGACATGCCCCTTCCCAGTGAGTAAACAAGGACAGGTGTCTTCAGCACTCCATCACTCAGCTCTTAGGCCGTTTCTCCTCATGTCTAGTTTCATGTGGTATGGCAGAAGCTCTACTTTAGGTGACACATGTGTAGCAGGCCTGGCCAATCAGAGCATAAGCATGGTGGGAACCAGCCCAGGGAGACTGAACCAGGAACATGTTGGAGCTGTTGAGAAGTAGAAAAGGACTAAGTGGGACATCCGAGCTTGCAGTCTGATTGGCAAAGTGAAGTGGGCAGACTATGAGATGATGCTTGGAGAGACACCCATACCTCCTAGGAGCTCCATGCAGTTGTACCACATGATAGCCCCCAACCTGGAATCTTTGTAGTGGCCTCCAAATTCCTGCCCTCCAGAACCATGGCAAGAAGTGGCTATTGTATTGAGTCATAAGCGTAGAAGCTGTTGTGTGCAGTCAGCAATAGGACATCTGTAGGAAAACTGATCATTTCAAGCTCAATCTAGGCTCTCTCAAAGCTATCTTGCTGTGATTTCCTCAAGGATTTCACCCCCATCATGGCCAGAACCTGTTCTCAGGATTGGCAGACATGGCCATTAGAAGCTGGACTACGGGGGGGTGGGAGGAGAGAGAGAGAGACTGTATGTGTGTGCACGCGCACATGTGAGGGTGTCCCAGCACCCACAGGCAGCACCATTCATTCAAATGACTCCTCATGCTTCCTTGTCAGAGCCATCTTCGGACCCCTCTTGTCTGGGGGTGGACAGCTTTTCTAATTAAGCAGCAGCTTTAATTATGGCACAAAGTGTATCACATAGATTACTAAGCCTGCCCCTGGGATGATGAAAGGAAGCTGGTAAATCCAAATTAAACAGTGTCATCAAAACGAACAGCTTTCCCCAGCAGCCACAGCCATGATGTCCCTTGTCTCCTGTCTGCAGTCTCCATGCATATTCATCATCTGAGCTAGGAGCAGCTTGACTGTCAGCTCTGATATGTGCAGACTGAGTGCATGGCAAACAGAAGACTGAGCTAGCTCCTTGGATCCAAGCTGGCAGATACATCTGCACGGGACAAAACAGACCCCCATCCCCTTGTGCTTTCGGTCACAGAGGAAGGCTGGAGTGTTGGACACTGAAGATCTCAGAGAAACTGGGGTTTCCTGAAGACATGACTCGTGTTCTGGTGTCATATTTTTTTTGAGCTTGTTTTGTTTTGGTGTTGGTTTTCTGGAGAGTCTCCTCATGTTGTCCAGGCTGGCCTGATATTCACACTCCTCTTGCCTCAGCCTCCTGAGTTCTGGGATGACAGGTTTGTGCCACCACTCCTGGCCCCAGCTTTTTACTAGATGTAGTGCTGTGGACAGCAAGGCCTTGTCCTGACTGCACAATTAGTCCTTACCAGTTCTCTCCTCTTAGATCTACACCCCAATAGGGGCATCTAGGACAGCTAGAAGTTCCTGCGGAGGAACCGACCCAGCAACTGTTTTCTAGTGTTCCAGACCTGTCCCTGGTACCACAGACTGAAACCTAACCTGACAGCGAAGGTCACTGTCCTTGCATCCTTAAATGTGAACCACTGGAGCTGGGGGCGCGGGGACACAGAGCACAGGACTGGCCCTAGGCCCCTCAGTAGGCAGAACTGGACACAGTACATTAGCTGTGGTGTGCCCTCAACCTTTATATGCATGCCCACATTCCAGCCTTCCCCTTCTCCTGCTGTGTGACCTCTGAGCAGGGTCCACTGAGCACCCACAGCCCTTGTAGAGGGTCCCGGGCTAAGACAGCACAGAAGCCTGGCACAGCTGCTCAAAGTCAGCAGAGGACACCAAGAGCTGAGCTGGCCCAGAGCATAATGTGTCACCTAGACCTGGGAGATCTGCCAGCCCCTGTGACCCAGGAATGGTTTGAAGATTGTCACTACCCAGAGGACAGGGGGCATATCTACAGCCCTGTGGGGCTAGGAGAGTCGTCTGTATCCAAGTGGCTAGTTCACTCAGGTGGTAACCCTCTGACAAGTTTGAGGTCCCTTCCTATCTCCCTTTGAGAGCTGTTAGCTTGAGAGGGCCCTGCATGTGTCTATGTACATGTGGTTGAGGTGTATCTTTGTCTCCAAAAGGGAGTTGGCATCACTTTTCTGGCCTGTGGGTAGAGGGCTGATGGGGCAGAGTATGTGGGCTTGCCTTCAGCTTTTTGTTCTTGGGCTTTTAAGCTTTGAACATGAAAGTGTGTCTGTGGAGCATTTGTGTCCAAAACTCTAGGGACAGACACTGTGTAAACATATGTGCCTCCACAGGTTGGTCATATGACAACTGGAGGTGTCTGTGAGATGTGTCTGGGTATCCAGGCATGTGTGAATGTGGATGTGCATATGTGGAAGTGTGCACATGTATATGCTCATTTGTGCAAATGTGTGTGTATGCATATGTGTGGGTATATTGCAGGACAGTTTTGCCTCCAGCAACATGGATGGATGGATGAATTCAGTGTGTGAAAGACAATTTGGTAGAGGAGGGACATCCTAGTTTCTGGATCCTTAGTGTCTCCTGGCTTTGGCTAATGTCAGTCACTACTCTCCTGCTTCTTAGGTGAGAGTGGGAAGGCAGACGCACAGGTGACTGCCTGGTAGAGGAGTTTGAAGTCATGTGTGTGCCTTGCATGGATGAGCATGTTTCACAGCAAGGCAGGATGCTGCCGTGCAGCATGGTAGCAGCACTGTCCCCAAGGACCTGCCTGCTAAAACCTCCCCATTCAAAATTCCCAGAAATAAAGGCATAGTTTCCAAATGAGCAACTTTCTGTCTGCTGAGGCGCAGCTCAGCATGAGACATGTGTCCTGCCGCCTTGCAGAGAGTGACTCAGGGACATGCCACCACTTCACTTCTTGTCCTCACACACTTATCTTTCCAGGACACAAAGGGCAGACCATGCATTTTTATTAGCACCAATGATCTGGGCATCTGAGGAGAGCTGCTCAGGTTCTTGGCAAATGTGCTGCTCCCGCTATCTCTGTGGCAGGATTCCCTTATCTCCCTGTTGTGAGCAGGAACCTCTGCAGCACGCAGTCCCTTTAGTGCACTTCCCAGGCTCAACCTCAGCCCTCCTCATGCAGCTCATACTCAACCATGGCTTTACAGAAACCCCACTGTCTGCCAGCAATAGGAAGGGACACTGTACTCAGTTAACCCATATGTGCCCAATGTGTGTTCCCATCTGTGCTGGGAAACACTGGTTGGTTGATTGTTGCCTATCAGAACTCATGGTTGAACACACTGCTTTATTCTGTATGGGGACATGACTACACTCTGTCCAGGCTTGGGAACAAGGCATAGCAACCACATCCTCGTACACGGCAAGCCAGAAAGCCAGTGCGGCCAGCCATGAGAAAACCTGAGATCTGGCTTATTCCTCTCTGACAGAAATGATGCATGGTGTTGGTGTTGGGAGGAAGCACACTGAGCTACTCTGGGGCCGTGAGGTAGCAGTTTATTCTTTTCCTCTGTGATACTGGGGTCCTGGGGTCTTGAATGGCCAGGAGAGTTACCTAGCTCACACAGCACCTCTAGGGTAACCAAGGCTAGGAGGGGTACAGGGTGGCCTGAGATACTACTACCTCATGAACACTTCTGCCCAGAGTACTACACTGACTCCATATTGTAAAGCCATCATTTGTCTGAAGAGGGGCAAGGTACATCACGGGCACATAACCATATTACTCTCTGTAACACACAGAGAGTAGCAAGAATATTTGTCAGGCCTACATCAGAGCCCCTAAGGAGGGGGCAGAACTGGGGGTGGAATGGCCTCCTCTCTGTGTCATATCTAAGCTTGCTGGGGAGGACATTCCAATACCTTTTTAGTGGAAAAAAAAACCACCTCAATTCAAAATGGGCTAGGGAAGCCAGGAGACGAGACAAACAGCAAAAGCTCAGGGTGTGTGTGAGGAAGGGTGTGAGGTGTAAGCCGGCAGTCACTCGTTTCTGTATTTGTCAGTGTTTAAAGGACTGCACAACACTCTTCTGTCTGTCTTTATCTCTCTGTGTATCTCGAGGTAGCTTGTCTTTATCTCTAACTCTGTCTTTCTTGGGGATAATTACGAATGAAGCTATTTCCCGCCCTCTTTCCTGGACTTTCCTAACCATGATGCCAAGGTCTAGTGGATGGGAGCGCTCACTGTCTTCTGCACGGTCTCACTCTCTGCTTCTGCTGGGCAGACCTCGATATTTCTGGGGAGGGGCCATTACTCCTCTACTCCTGGGAGACCCTGGCTCTTCTTCAGGTGACCAGGAGTTCGGTGGCCTGTGCCCACTTCCCAGACCAGTAGATGGTGAGTGTGAGAAAAGCCTGGCCTTCTCAGTGAAGGCAATGTGAGGGTAAGGTTGCTATAACCAGTAAGGGAAAGCAACCAATATGCCCAAGCGATGGGGGACGTAGGAGCTCTCCCTCTCAACAACCTTTGCTAGCCTGAGGGCCAGAGACAGGGCACTCTCAAAGCACATCCCCCCAATGAACCAGTTCTTGCTGGTGGAAGGTTCTTTGGAACAAGTGCATGTGCCCAGTGACCAAGTCCATGGACTTCTGGCCAACTAACCCAGAAACAGAAGGATTTGTACAGTCCTTCCTAACTCAGCTAGCCACTGCCTCTTGATAGCACATGCAGTGATACACAGATGCTCAAATGGCATTTGGCTTATTTGTCCATCATCATCCTCTTATGAAGGAGATGGAGTCTTAGTGGAAAGAAGACCCTGACAAGGGACACAGGTGAGGGCCATAGACGTTAGGTCCATGTGCTGGGTGAGTGTTACACATAACTACCCCCAGAACAAACCAACCACCATCTCACTTGCAAAAGATCATCCCAGCTGAGCATGTTAGTTGTTTATATCCCTCATAGAGGGGTAGGAATGACTGCAAGATGATCACCTGAGTATCTAGTTTCTCCCTGCCACCTGTTGTATGCAATTCTGCTTTAACTGCACGTGGCCCAGGGACAGAGCAGGCTAGGAGAGGCCTCATCTGTGAAGCTGTGGGAAAATCAACATTACTGCTGGCTAAAGATTCTCTGGTGTGGCCTTTGGAGGGCAGCACTCACACCCCTAGGTAACTCCTCTGGAAGAAAGCCCAATTGGTTCCCCAGAGTGAACTTTGGCCCTTCCCTTCTTCCTCCCTTCCCAGAGTGAACTTTGGTGGAATTGTGCCTGTTTGTTGTTGGACCTTAGGAGGGGAAATTTTTTGCCCCACACACCCCCTCCAGGCAGTAACTTCAGCAACAATAGGAGTAAATCATGGATAAAGGTCTCTAATGATGGACTCAGCAGGGAAGAGCTGCACCCCTCCCCACAGAGGTATGGGGTGCCTTCTGTGTGGCTGCAGCTCCCGCAAACCTGCTGATGTTTTCTGTTTTACATGCTTTGCAAGTTCATGAAATTGTACATTCCAACTTTTTCTCTCCATGGATAAATGGACTGAGGTCTTCTTGTCAGGAAATGTTTGTCTGAGTGATGAAGTCTCCATGGCTACCCACACGCAGTCCATATCAATGTGGTGCTGTGCAGCAGTTGTCCCTTGAAAGTTATGCAGGCAGCTCAGGAAGTATGCATCCTGGCCACGAAGGAGGCGACTGCTGGGGAAGGCTGAGTCCTTAACTGTGCCGTGTACAGGACATCCAGGCCATGCTTCGCTCCTGATGCTGGTGACTTGGGTTTAAATTGCTGCAGCTGAGAGAAAGGGTCCTCATCGCTAATAGAGGTATTTGGGAACTCTTGAGCTGAAAAGACTGAGTCCATGAAGAGTGGATGGTGAGCAAATGCTGTCCCCGTTCCCAAGTGACATATCAACCCCTTGGGCTGTAACTCAGTCTAAACGTGAAATGAACATTGCTGTTTCTAGTGTCACAGACGGATCTGTGTCCCCAAAATTCAGTTTGAAATTTTCACCCACAGGACTTCAGATGCTTCATTTGAAAGCAGAGTTACTATGGTTGTGATTAGTTAGGGAGGGAACCCCAAAACCCCATGTGGAAAACCCCATGGAGAGGAGGAGGCAGAGGTTGGGTAGGAGGCCACCTTTTTGTGCACCCCTGCCATTTTCTTATATATTCAAAATCTTAAATTGCATTATTTATTTGTCTGTCTGTTGATTGGTGGGCTTGGGGGCATGTGTGCCACAACACATGTCTGGAAGTCAGTGGACAACTTGCAAAAATCGTTTCTTCCCTTCTACTTTGTAGGTCTTGGGGATTGAACTCATGTTATCAGGCTTGCCAAGTGCCTTTAGCTGTTGAGCATTGGGACAAAATGGACACATCCCCTGGAAGCATTCGGGACACTTGTAATTCCTGCAGACTCCTGCTCCCATCGTCAGTGCTGTACTGGATGCTGATGCTGCATCCTGGTCAGACCCTCTAGCTCTTCTCTAGCCTCTCCCCCCTTGCTAATAAAGGATTGTAACTGTTTTATTTCCCTTGGGATTATTATCTACCCTCACACCCAGACTTGTCCCACCTCTGACTGCCTTTGCTACTCATTCACACTCCTACTTCTGAAGGGGTCAGGTGGTACTCACCCAGTGTATCTCTCCTGTAGCATTCTGTGTTGCACAAGGTAGGTGTGTTTAACTAAACAACTTTTTCCATTTTGAGGAAGAAAACTTTGGTTACTTTGGTACAGCATCCAATAGCTTTCAGTGGGTCTCATCCCTAGTTTTCACTTAATTACCTGAGTTTCATTTCCTCTTTTATCCATTTCTTCTTTGTTGTTTTGAGATAGGGTCTCATTCTATCCCAGGTTGATCTGGAACTCACTCTGTATCCAGACTAGTCTCAAATTTATAGTGATTCTCCTGCCTCATCCTTCTGAGTACTGGGATTACAAGTATAAGCTACTGGGTCAGCCGGCCTCCCTTCCCTTTCTCTCCCTCCCTCCCTCCTTCCCTGCCTCCTTCCATTTCTTAATTGGATTTTATTTTATGTGTATGGATGGTTTTCCTGCATATGCATGTATATGTATATATGTCTATGAGTCACATGTGTTCCTGGTATTTCTGAAGTCCAGAAGAGGGTGTCAGATCCTCTGAAACTAGAGTTATAGATGGTTGTGTGTAGTGTGAATTCTAATTGGTCTTAATAAAAATCCGGAGTTAGATATAGGGGTTAATGCTGAAAGATCAGAGAAGCAGAGCTGCCAGTCACTGGTTCTTACTTCTACTGAATCCTTAGACCAAAGGGGTGATCCTGTCCCTATGAAACCTCAGATTGAATCCTGAGCTCCTGTCTCTTCCTGCCTTATATTCCTCTCTCCACCTAGCCATATCACTTTCGTTGGGAGCCACCATGTGGATTCTGGGAATCGAAACTGGGTCCTTTGGAAGAACTGTCAATGCTCTTAACTACTGAGACGTCTCTCCACTCCAGCCCCTGGGTTGTATTTTTGAGACAGGATTTTACATATTCCAGTTTCTTAGAGTTTCTGTTGCTGTGATCAAAAGTAACTTAGCAGGGAGAGTTTATTTCATCTTACATTTCCAGGTAATAGCCCAACACTGAGGGACACCCCAATCCCAGCTGCCTACTACACCTCCTGATGACCACCATGCCTCCACAGGTGCAAACAGATAACGCACTCTGAAGACCTTCCCCAGATCTCTGTGGTCTTCATCTTTGTCAACGAGGCCCTTTCAGTTATCCTGCGCTCTGTACACAGCGTGGTCAACCACACACCTTCCCAGCTCCTGAAGGAAGTCATTTTGGTGGATGACAGCAGCGACAATGGTGAGTGGGGACCACGCCCCAAGGGTGGTAACATTGAGCACACAGTTTTGGAGCTGTGGACCAGCTTTCTGGGTGTATTGACTCTTGTGGCTGCCCCAGCCAATGGCTTCTAAGCTTGAAGCCATAGTGTTGGCTTGCTAAGCTTTGAGGCAACAGCCTGAAGGTGTGGCCAGAGAAAGCACCTTGCTAAGTAACCTCCCATTTTCTGCTGATGACAACAACATGTGGGGTTCTTGACTGAAACCTTTTACTCTGACTTTGTATTGTTGGGGTGCAGTTCTTTGTGCCACTTCTCAAGGCCACTACCAGTGGGCCTGCATTAGTTACTTATATCAGAGAGAATCAATTTAAGGAAGGGTCTGTTTTGGTCCCCGGGTTGAAGGTATAGTCCATCATGGCGGGGAAGGCATGGCAGAAGCAGCGTGAGACAGTTGGTCACGTCCACATCCAGAAAGCAGAGAGAAACAGATGCTGGTGTTCAGCTCAGTTCCTCCTGTTTTATTCAGCTCAGGACTCCTGCCCAGGAGTAGTGCCGCCCACAGTTAGAATAGGCCTTCCATCTCAGCTAACCCGATCTAGAAACTCCCTCATTTACCATTTTAATCATTTTCAAGTATGTGGCTCAATGGTATTGAGGATATCCATGTTGGGCAACCACTACCTCTACCTCATAACTTTTGGGGGGTGGTGTCTTTTGAGTCTCATTCTGTAGCCCAGTCTAGCTTGGGACTTCTTATATAGCCTAAGCTGATCTTAGACTCACAGAGATCCTCCTGCTTGAATTTTGGTATCACAGGCATGAGCCACCGTGTTCTCACAGAAACCAATTCTTTACTTGTCCCAGCCACCAGTACCTTCCTACTGTCCCTCTGGATTTGACTTCTATAAGCATTTCATAAAGACAGTCAAACTGCATTTACCTGTTAGTGGCTGGTGTGTGTCACTTAGAACTATGTCGCAGTCCTCCATGTTGTGGTAGTATCAGAGCATCCCTATCTCATTATGATCAAGTGACTCCCTAGTGTGGAGGAACCTTGCTGGCTGCACAGGACTTCATTTCTGTGTGTACAGACCTGGGTGGACATTCCTTCATCTGTACAAGGTCTTCATTCTTGGTTATAGCTCAGTGGCCTATAGCTCAGCTATAGCTGCCTACACTGCCTCTATCACTTTGGTCTATTTTTTCCCTTTGCTACTTTTCCCACCAGAATAGCAACTTCATAGGATTGGGGTTTTGTTCTCCCATAGTCTTGCCAGATGTTGGATCTCATGCAACCTTATGTGACCTCACAGTACTTTTTTGAAACTCCAAGTTAGGAGCAGGACTCAAACATCCCAGTCATGGTCTGGGCTCTTGCCAGTGTAGCATGCTAACACACTTATCTTTCCTCTTCAGTGGAACTCAAGTTCAACCTGGACCAGTACGTTCACAAAAGGTACCCAGGCCTCGTGAAAGTTGTGCGCAACAGCCGTCGGGAAGGTCTGATTCGTGCCCGGCTTCAGGGCTGGAAGGTGGCCACGGCTCCCGTTGTTGGCTTCTTTGATGCCCACGTGGAGTTCAACACTGGCTGGTAAGGGCTGGGGTTCATGGATACATGGAAATCCTGTGGGCATTCAGATCAGAGAGCACATAAGGACAGGTCAGGCCGTGGCTCTGGAGCTTTCCAGAGATGAGCTCTGCTGATAGGCCAAGCCATTTGGCATAAGAAGTAGAATTTTCTTGACCTTGTAGGAAATTCTAGATCAAGAAATTCTAGATACTGCTTCTCATTCAAGGGAAGGATTGGACTCAAATGAAAAACCAAGGGGACTCTGTGACCAGAAGGTAGAAAAGTGCCCCCCATCTTGTGGCCACAGGCCAGCAGGTATGCAGGACATCCATTGCAGGAGCAACCTACTTATCCCTACTGGATAGATTAGAATCCTGTGGTCCCTGGAGACAGGGACCTGACCCTACTTGCTTCTTAGACCAGAGTAGGCCTGCGAAAGCTAAAGATATCCACAAGGGTTGAGTGCCCCAGAGTCTCTATCCTGGAGTTTCTCTTGCTTGTTCAGCAAAGGATGCCTTGGAGGGCAGTATCTTTATCCAGCAAGTGGCCCATACTGGGGAAGCCATGTCAGAGCTAGCTTCTTATCCCATGCTGTTAAGAAAGATTATTTTTTATTTAGCAAAGGTCCTCCTTGCTGACCCTGGGCAGGAGTTGGGCGAAGGAGCAGGGAGCTTCCTGCTTCAGCAAAGTCCTCTTTGGACGACCAGGATCCATAGGGTGTGCTGTATCTGCAGGTGTTTGGCAGTGATCACCTATGGTCTTTGTTTCTCACATGGAAAAGAGGGCACTAGAGATCTTACTTGTGACTCTACTCTGGGACTCAGTGCCTGCCTCTGTGTTTATCAAGATTGCAGCAGAGTGACACCTGCCATCACATGTGCATGTCACATGAGCAACTGGGACATTCAGACATGGGTAGGCCAGGTGTTGTGGGAAGTGAGAGTGGGCACCAGAGGGTGCAGAAAACAGAGTAGGGCAGAGAAAAGGTGGCCTGGAATAGTACTTCCCTGCGCCACTGTGACCAAAGCCCCTCACTAGCTACTGGCAATAGCTGGGATTTGTCCTCTGCCAACTCAGGCACCTAGATCAAGGTGCTTTGGGGGCTGCATCCCTCTGAGGCTCTAATGAGGGTCTCGCTCTGCCTCTGCTCTGCTGGCCTTCGCATGGCCTCCTGTCCCTTATTGGAACCCTGGTTACTGATTCGGCCAGGGAGCTTCTGTTCCGAACCTGTTGAGATAACTGGGGTATCCCTTAGTTGTGCAAAAAAAGCTGCATCTAAGCCACACCTGTCTGAGAGGCCAAACAAGGTGAACCAGGAAATGTACAACAACCAGGAGTTCAGAGGCACCCTGAACTAACGAGTGGGCAATCACACACAGTTGTGCATAGAGACCCTTTGTAACACTCAGTCCTCCAACCCCCAGTTGACACTATGACAAACTTTTGAAAAATGAGCTGGTGGGCTGGTGAGATGGCTGAGGGTAGAGGCTCTCGCTGCCAAGCCTGGCTCTGATCCCTGAGACCCACATGGCAGGATGGAATCAATTGCTCTAAGTTGTCCTCTGAGCTCCACATACATATATGGCATGCTCGTGTGCGTGCGAGTGTGTGTGTGTGTGTGTGATTTAAATTTCCTTTAAAAATGTGGGAGAAGTGATACAAAAACTCTGAGTTATAGTCTCTCTCGAAAATGGGGCAAAATTGGATGTTCCTTGGTGACCTGACCTGGGCAGGTGCTCACTGTGGCCCCTAAGAGGCTCTGTGAATGCCTCCTGTGGGCTCGGGCTGCTGGCTGTGCTCCTCATATTCCCATGCTTCCCTTCTCTGTCGCTCTGTGACAAGACTTCTCTTTCCATTATTCTGTCACCACCTTGAATCCTGTATCGTTCATTATGTGTCATCGTGAATCCTCCCACCAGAATCACCTCCTACTGTGGCATGGGTTGTGCATTGCACAATTCACACTCTATCTACCATCAATTCCCTGAGGGATAGTGGACACTTAGGAGATCTGAATTTATCAGTCAGAATGAAAATTGTTTAACCTGTATAACTCTCATTTCATTCAACTGGAAACCCCATTTCTGTGAACGGCAGCTTCCTAGCACAGCCTTTATTGCAGGTTCTGCATGTTAGCGGGCATGACATTTGCAGTCTCTCTGGTGTGCTTTGTGCATTCATCCATTGATGAGGCAGTAGGTCAATAGAGGCTCCCAGAGGGATGAGGTTAGGGGCTGTTCCCTCTCCATATTGCCCCGACTCTTGATCCTTCCATCTCTGAAGCACACAGACCCTCAGCCCACTAGTCACCTCGATCTCAGATATTATCTGAACCTCAGTTTGGATGCAGTTCTCCAAACAGAACCTTGTCCTCTGGTAGACTATGTAAGGCCTGTCCATGCTATCTCCAAGATACAGCACAGGCATCAGCATCGAGAGAAAGCCTGCTGTTTTGGCCCTTCGTCTCTGACTTTAGAGTCTCTCTTGCCAGTCTCTCCCATGGCCTGCTGATCCCCTACCCCCATGCATACAGGGCATGTGCCAATGACTGGTAAAGCTGCTCTGTCAGTGTAGACTTCCATCCCCACACCCTAATGTCCTCCCACTCAGTGCCCAGAGCACTCCACACTGGATCCCATCTAGAGCTGCAGAGCTCATCCCACTCACTACTTCCTGCTTTCCATGGTGCCTTTCACCTCCCACACATCCTATACTCAGGCTTCATCATCCTCATTCCCCTTAACCATGGCCTGTTATGTAGGCTGTGCATTGCGTACAGCATATGTAAGCACCATGAGGCATGGATTTTTTTTTCTTATGAATGTAATCTGTTGCAACAAGGGTGGTCCACAATAGGTCTTCAGTTAGCTCTTGCAAATGGATGTACCTAGAGGTACAGGATTAGGGGGAGAGTAGGATTAGGCTAAGAAAACTCTCTGTACAATCCCAGGGCCCTGGCTGACCCATGAAGAACATTCAGATGTCCCTGTGCTTAGCACTGACCAGTCAAAAAGGCCCAGGCTTTGGTCAGGTTAGTGTTGTGGGTTAACCATTCCTAGTATTCCAAGATTACCATAACTGGGTCCTGTGCACAGCAGATGGGGGCCAACCAAGCTTAGATACCAGGCCTAGCTGAAGGATCTGCACTCTTGGCCAGTGGAGCTCCTTTCTTGGGTTGCTGAGGGTTCTGGGATGGCTCTTGTTCATGGCCAATACCTTCCGCAGGGCTGAGCCCGCCCTTGCGCGGATCCAGGAAGACCGTCGGCGCATCATCCTGCCAGCCATTGACAACATCAAGTACAGCACATTTGAGGTACAGCAATATGCCAGCGCTGCCCACGGCTACAACTGGGGCCTGTGGTGCATGTACATCATCCCTCCGCAGGACTGGTTGGACCGTGGTGATGAGTCAGCACCCATCAGGTGAGCCAGGATCAACGTGAGGGTGGGAAGTGCCACCAAAGATGGTTCAGGACCAGAGGGAGGGTCATTTCCTTGAAGAAGCCCCAGCCTTCCCTCAGATGAAAAATGTGCACCTCACAGGGGTGATAGGGACTGCCAAGACTACAGAGTACCATGACTGGGGGCAGGGCTAGCTCATATCCAAGTCCAGGATGATGACCAAGTCAGACCAGGTTACACAACCTGGTTGTGTGAGGTTGGAAGAAGGAGAGGCAGAGACACAGAGAAGGAGAGAGACTAAAAGAGACAGTGATGTGGGAGGTCAAAGACAGAGAGACAGGGATAGGTTGAGTGAGTGACAGAGACTGAGACAGCAACTGAAAGACAAGACAAACTGCGAGACAGTGGCAGAAGGAGACAGAAAGACTGAGACATAAAGGCTAAAGGCTAGAGATGTATAAACAAAGACAGAAAGAGAGAGAGATAGAGACTAAGGAGGAGAAAGAGGCAGTGAGGAAAGAGATTGAGAAAGATAAAGATATGGAAAGAAACATAGAGACAGAAAGGTGGAGAGCAGGGGAGGCAGCATGGGGATTCCCTGAGCGTGGGTCAAGAGGCAGCCCATGGCTGTGAACTGTGTTAGTACTCTGGCCTCACATAACCCGTGGAACATTTACTTTCAGTTTGAATTGGTTCCTTAGACTTGAGGAGAGGAGATTTGAGCATTTTGAAAATACATAATGCCAACATTTCATGAGATCTGGGAGCCCCATTCATCCAAAAGAATCACAGGCTCTGCCCAGCAGGGACTCTGGGAGCTTATTTGTGGGAGACCCTGCCACTGTCTGTCATCCTGCTGAATTTTGATGTCATCACACTTAATTAATTTTCTTTCACCTGACTGTGTTGCCACGCCCACATCTCTGCAGTTTCCACTCCCTTCCCCAGAATCCCCTTCGACCACATCACCTGATGATGTGGGGAATCAGTGCCCCTGGGGAATCTGTGCCTTCACATCTGGTAGTTTGTCCCACTTTCTCCTGGGGACCAGCCTGGGTTTGAAAATTGTCTTTGGAATGAATGAATATCTCCAGGTGCTACTGGGCCCAGGGTGCTGTTGCTTACCGTGGGTCTTGGTGGGACCACCTCCTTGTCTCCCAATGAAAATGTTGCATTCTGGCTAGAATGCTGCAAAGTATCTTCAGTCCCTTGGACCAGTCTCTCCCATAGGAGGGTCTCCTGGAGGTCTTCCAGGCTAGTGCACAGCTCAACCCTGCAGACTGAAGAACTAGTTGGTTGAAGTGCCCTGCTCATCTCCTCTGGCAAACAGCTATTGGCAGTAAATCCAGATGAAATCATTTGGCACAGAAAGGGAAAAAAATTCATCCCAGAAGAAAAAATGGTTTCACAATGCTAAGACGAAGGAGCTTCCAAAATTGGCAAAGCACTGTTTCTCCATACATCCTAGCTCCACATGACTCTTTTCTTAGAGATGGACCATGAGTCTTGGAGTTGGGGCAGCCTGCAGTGATTGAGTAGGGGGTCTGTGCTCTGGACTTTGCAACAAGGTCAGAGGGTGGAGCTTCCCAAAGCACAAGGCTCACAGATGGCTCCCTAGGAGCTCATTGAAGCAGAGAGTGACGGTCTGAAGGTTATTTTTCTTCATTTGAGATTCAGTTCATGATACCGATTAGTAGCAAGATAAATGCTTGTGTGTGACATTTTAGAAATCTGTGGAAGTCAGAGGCCCAAAGGGAGGCATCCCCCACAATTTGTGGCAGGCTCTGGATATCCAAGAGACAGTGGAGCACAAGCTTGCTGGCCTGAGTCTGGTGGGATGGTGGTTCCCAAGCACATTCTTTAGAATCACCCAGGAATTGTTAACCTTTCTGCCAGAAACCAGCTAACTAATGGGGCTGACTTAACAGATGCCACATAAAAAAGATGTGCACATGGCTAAACACTGGGAGGATGCCGGACAGAAACCCCAGTGAAAAACTCGCAAGTTGAAACCTTGCAGAGATACCACTATGTGTACTCAAGAGGATGGTTGAAACAGAGATTGACAATACTTTTAGTGGGTGGAGCACACAGAACCTCATTTCTGGCTGGTGGAAGCCACTTTGGAGAACTGGCAATTTCTTTCTTGTAAATACGTGAGAACTTTGTATAATCCGGACACTAATCCTGGCAGGTTTTTTTTTTTCTTTTTTTTTTTTAAGTACTGATAGTTAGAATATTGTTTATTTGAATGTACTTTGATTCCAGCTTTGTTCACGTTTTGGCATGTTTTAAATACATCTTTACTCTTGCATGAGTTTCTAAGAATGGCTGTGCTTTAAGTTATATATTGGTTAGTTAGGTTTTATGATCCAATCTGTATTTCTTTCTTTCCTCTTTATATTTTTTTGAGTTCTACATTTTTCTCTGCTCCCCTTCCTGCCTCTCCCCTCCCCTTCAACCATCTCCCAAGGTCTCCACGCTCCCATTTTACTCAAGAGATCTTGTCTTTTTCTGCTTCTCATATAAATTAGATTCATGCACGTCTCTCTTAGAGTCCTAATTGTTGTCTAAGTTCTCTGGGATTGTGATTTGTAGGTTGGTTTTCTTTGTTTTATGTCTAAAAGCCACTTATGAGTGAGTACATGTGATAATTGTCTTTCTGGGTCTGGATTACCTCACTCAAAATGATGTTTTCTAGCTCCACCCATTTGCCTGAAAATTTCAAGATGTTATTTTTTTCTGCTGTGTAGTACTCCATAGTGTAAGTGTACCACATTTTTCTTATCCATTCTTTAGTCAAGGGGCATTTAGGCTGTTTCCAGTTTCTGGCTATGACAAACAGTGCTGCTATGAACATAGTTGAGTACATGTCCTTGTGGCATGGTTGATATATACCCAAAAGTGCTATTGTTGGGTCTTGAGGAAGGTTGTTTCCTAATTTTCTGAGAAATCACCATACTGCTATCCAAAAGGGCTGTACCAGCTTGCACTCCCACCAGCAATGCAGGAGTGTTCCCTTAACCCCACAACCTCTCCAGCATAAGCTGTCATCAGTGTTTTTGATCTTGGCCATTCTTATAGGTGTAAGATGGAATCTTGGAGTTGTTTTAATTTGCATTTCTCTGATGACTAAGAGTGCTGAACATTTCCTTAAGTGTCTTTCAGTCATTTTAGATTCCTCTGTTGAGAGTTCTCTGTTTAGGTCTGTACTCCATTTTTTATTGAATTATTTGTTCTTTTGATGACCAATTTCTTGAGTTCTTTGTATATTTTGGAGATCAGACCTCTGTCTGATGTGGAGTTGGTAAAGATCTTTTTCCATTCTATAGGCTGTCGTTTTGTCTTATTGACCATGTCCTCTGCTTTACAGAAGCTTTTCAGTTTCAGGAGGTCCCATTTATTAATTATTCCTCTCAGTGTCTGAGCTACTGGGGTTATATTTAGGAAGTGATTCTCTGTGACAATGCGTTCAAGTGTAGCTGGCTTTATGCTGAAGCCTTTGATCCATTTGGACTTGAGTTTTGTGCATGGTGATAGATATGGATCTATTTTCATTATTTTACATGTTGATGTCCAGTTTTGCCTGGCAGGCAAATTCATTTCAAAACGAATGAAAGCACAGTCCATTAAAAGTTTTACATATAAGTGCCTTAATGGCAATTTTTAAAATAACAGACTCAGTGTAGAAACAAGCCAAATGTTTTGACCAGGTGAGTCCTGCCTGACATGGCTTCCCTCACTCTGAAGGACCAGGAGTCACAGAAGATCCTGACAGATGTAGATAACCTCCTTGCTAGATTTACCCTTGGAAGTGGTTTGATAGTCTGGTGTACACCAGTGTCTTGGTATTGCTGTCTCTCCTGCCTGAGAGTCTAAAGGAGAATCCAGTCGGGCATCAACTCTGGAGCACTAGGAACAAGAAGGGTGGGAATTTCATCATTGCCTCCCCACCTCTGATGTGAGAGGAGAGACAGGAGAATGCAGTCCTACATTGCCTCCATTGCTCTGGAGTATGAGGAATGTTGGGTGAGCCCTGTCAGATGTCACTTCCCTCACAGTTTTGGATGAGGAGCAACAAGAGGGAATCCTGTCAGTCAGAGAGATGGTAGGGGTAGTACCATCTCCCTCACAGGGCTGGATCAGGAGCAACAGAGGAGAGAGAACCCTGTTGTTGTCACCTCCCCCTCTGACATCTGGAATAAGAGGGGTGGTCCTGACACTCATCACTCTTCTCACCTGGAGGATCAGGAATCACAGACAGATCCCGGTCAGACAGCACTTACTCTGTGGTAGCAGGAACTGTGGGCAAAATCACTGTTGAGCATGGCTTTTCTCCCTGCTGAGGATCTGCACTGATTGACTTCCTTTCACAAAGAAGGTCTCTGCTGACTCCTCAAGTGTGCCCAGCAAAAGAATGTAATCTGCCTGTGAACCAGGAACAAAATGTAACCAACCAAAAGCCAGTTTCCTCCTGGCTATTCTTTGGCGTGGCCTGATATACTCTTGTAATGGCCAAATAATATTCTGTGCTGTGCACAAACCATTGTTTGTCTATCCAGTCACCCACAGAGACCATTTGCATTGATTCACTTTTTATGGTACAACAGGACCTAGTGGATCCTAAAAGGCCCAGAAGATGGGGTTAGAGGCAAGAGATATAGTTTGGACAAACAGATTCCCAGATCAGGACCCTTGGGGACATGTCCTCTGAATGCTACATAAGTAGAGATCATACCTATAACGACCAGGACACTTCCCCCAGCCTGAGAAGATCTCATTCGAGGAATTCTGTTCTGTGATCACAGGAAGAATTTCTCGTGCAGATAAAGTCAGTGTTTGTGACTCGTGCTCTGTTGCCTCATGAGTTTACATTTATTTTGGGGCTAAGCAATAATAAAAAAAATTACTGGCTACAATAGCCTTTGTGGTAGGGAATTGGGCACCTCTCTTCATCAAAAATCACTCTGGGATTGTTGTTGTTGTTAAGATGAGAGACATGCCAGCCCAGACTACTATAC